TTGGATATCTCCGCCATATTTTGACCAAATAGGCTGATTGTTGTACCACTGATAGAGGATACTTCATTGGTCGTATTCATAAGAAAAACATTGAAAAATACCTCTTTGAAGTATCACTCTTGACTTCAATAAAGAAGTGTAGCCTTTCAAGACTTATGAAACAACAACGTATTTATTTCCGTGTCCAAAAATAAGCGACAGATTTAATTTTTTGATTTCTACACACTATTGTCGTTTGGTCTCATATTTATACTACAGATATATGTCTTGTTAGTCAATATACCTTGAAATTTTCAGTCACAAACGACGAAAATTTGTTGAGAAAACAGCGAATGTGTCTCATGTACACTTCTGAGATTTATATCAAAATTTGCTGTAATGCTTGTCCTAGTATGGCGTTTATTTTTGGCCACGGAAATACAATGAAGAGAAAGAAGGTATAGATTTATCAGATCAGCTATCAGATACTATACATGTCTCAGATGATCTATAAAATGATAGCAAATGGTGGTATTTGAATTGATATTTGGAATGGCAATAGTTAATAGCTATTTGATTTACGAGAAAAGCTATGCCACAAATGACATGACCATTCTGCTGTTAAGAGAAAAGCAAGAACAACAATCAAGAGAAGCAAGTCATGCGACAACAAAGAAAAAATAAATAAAAACCTTCTGTTCTGATTGTGACAAGTTTTTTGTCTTGATTGTTTTAACGAGAAGCGTTACGCTATGCAATAAAGGATTCAAAAAATACCGAAGGCAGAACAGATGATACATTATGTGTAATCTCCTGTCTAAGAAAAACAGGAAACGAAAGGGTTTCTCTATTAAGTTTGTTGTTAAAATGTAGTGGGACCCACCGGTGAGTCCCATCATCTCGAATGTATTAAATGAACTTTGACTGTAAAAAGTCTTTTTCGCCTTTTTTACATTGTGCTCAGCGCAAAAATCGAGTTCTGTCAGCATGGCCTACTTACGACCTCCAATTAACTTTCCCTGATTAGATTGAAACTTTAGTAGCGATGCCTGAAAATATTCTTTAGATGTAAAATTGTATGTTCAATTTATGACTTTCTGGTTCGAGATTATAGGAGTTTTTTAAATTGCAAGCTGGTTGTTGAGCTGGGACGTTGCAGTGTGTTTTGCATCAATAACCAAAGCAACCGAGATTTATCATGAAGATCAGGAATATATCGGAAAGAAGTGTGGCAGGTTCGTCAAAACTATATACTTGCAAACGTGACAAAAGATGCCCTCGAGAAATGTGACTGAAAATTCAAAAAAAGATCCAAAAATTGGTAAAGATACGTAGAAAACCTTTGCCACTGATCCAAACACCAACGTTACTGATACAAACACCGAGAATTTAGGAATTCATTTTCATTTCTAGATCCTATCCTTTCGTCTATGGAAAATAAGCAGGAAAAAAGCAATGAACATTTTTGTAAAAACTCAATGTCTGCACTTTTTGGGTATTCAGAGCTTTCAGTATTTCGAGTAAATTTCCTCCAAAACAAAGGCTATCCGAAATTTTTTTAATCAAAATGCTTAGAATTGATAGTTCTACAAACCCCGACAGTGTCGTCAAAATCGGAGACAACTTTTGTACGCGTGGTTGAGACCCGATAGAAACAGCCAACCAGTTTCAACGTTACCCCAAGAAGGCTTAGATATGTGTATTTTGCTTGGAAATCAGAAGTAGATGAACGATAGAAAGCAGTTTCATGGTATATAAAATGCAATGAGTAGAAACGCAGCCTGTCTCTAAGCAAGAAAAAAATCTATTCATCTATTTCAACGTATTCTCTTTCTTTTTTTCCACCTATTCAAAGAAAATGGATTTAATTCTTTTGTTACGGCGTCCGCATATATACGAACTGCATTTTTACATACATACATTATAACTATATAATGTCCTCTTTTCCCTGTAGCATAAAGTTGCTCTTATTCTCTTATGTTGCTAGTATCAAAGCGTCATGATGTGATACTACTTGAGGTTGTGGGTGTGGGTGGGGTGGGTGTGAGTGTGGGGTGGTGGTGGGTGGGTGTGTGAGAGTTTTTTCCATCGACTTCATACTCATACACACACCCCATCCACACCCACCACACCCACCCCACCCCCACATCCACACCCCACATCTACACCCCACCGACACGTACACCCACCCACGCCCACCCACACCCACATCCACCCTCACCCACACCAACACTCACCACACCCACACACCAACACGCGACACCTACCCACACCCAGCCGCTCTCATCTTCAATTTTCCAAATGAAGGTGATTTAAATAGTAACAGCCCCACTTTCTTTGTCTTTGCCCTTTTTAATGGCATTCCTCATGCATTTTGTTTACACTGTCCTTTTGTTCCTTTCAAGCATATATGATTGCGATTATTTTACTCGAAATCATTTAAACAAATATTTCGCATTAGACGGCGTTCCTTCGCACACTCGCCGTCATCGAAGAACAAAAAAGGGTTAACGAAATGCATCTCACATCAATAGCTGCGGTACTCCTCCTAATATTCATCAACGCTTATGCAGGTAAGTTCCCTATATAAATTTCATATTATAAGATCTGTAGAACTTTTTCTCGGACATTACTCGGCCTAGTTGCAACTCTGACAGAGCCCAAGCAGATCAATGCAAGCACGTCAAACTCAATCACACTCTACAAAATCTACACAAAACGTCAACCGACAGATGATGTTTACGCATTTGTCCCAAGTGAAAATTTTGTTTATGTCCCATATTTGAATGAAGTGTTTCATGTAACAAAAAATACGTTGTTCCGAATTATCTTCCAGGACTCGTTCTATTTTGGTGGTGAAACCCTCGTCATGTTAGTCCAGATTATGGTTAATGATTATCTTATATTCGGTAACACTATCGCGCCAAACACAAACCAACGACTAAGTGGAAGTCTCATTGCAAGCGACGAGAATGTCGATGGATTAGGTGGCTACGTGTACATTATAAATACCTATGCTATTATGCCTATTAATCGCTTAGCTATGATCTATCTTCCTCCCAGAACTTATACATTTAACCTTGGTGTGCGACAAAGAATTAATTTTAAAGGAAATGGACGCATATGTAGTGGACTGGTAACATACGAACTGACACAATTTCAAAACAATGAGAGCGATCTTGGCGATATCCAGTTAACCACATTGCCAAAATAATGTACAGGAGTAACTACATTCTGGGTAGGACCAGAGAATTAAAATAACGCCAAAAACTGCCGTTTCCACGTTTTCATCTTTTTGATACTTTTTTGTTGAATCTTTCAGTATTTGAGTATAATTTTAAGACAAAAGCTTTTCGATTTTATTAATTACTCAATATCCAGAAAAAAACCACTAAATCTGATCGACCACAGAATTCTGTCCCATTTTTATATATTACACCAAATGGCGGGTGTGGCTGTGACGGTGGGTGTGAGTGTGGGGTGTGAGTGTGGGGTATGACTGTGGGGTATGACTGTGGGTGTGGGGTGTGCGTGTGAGTGGTGGGGGGG